ATGTGTGTACCTACAGTGCATACATAATAAAACAGTTGGATTTTTGGTCACACAAAATGTTATTAAAAAAACAACTATAATGTCAATATATTGCCAATTATAAAGATTTATTCTCAGGTTTTTAACAATTTAACAAATTTATATTATTCACACGTGTTTAAACCAAATAAATTTACAAAAAAATAACTTCAAATACAGATATTATTATCTAAATAATATTATTTTATTATTTTAATACGTGCTATTAAAAAACGTGGAAAACCAAAAATGTAGAAAAATATTTATAAATTACGTTACCTATCCTATATAGACTGATACGGTTTAAATCAATATAATTGTATTACACCATGATCATTATTGATTCATAGTTTTAAAACACGTTAATAAGCAGTTTTTTTAATGATAAATTAATACAGGTACCAATTAATGCTCTGAAAATAAGTTGTATATACATATTAAATTATTATTTTAAACTTTACTTAACCACGCCCATGTGGAAAATGTAAAATAAATAAATTTCTTACTTTTTAAAATATAAATAATAAAAACGTTTAATAAAAATTAATGTTATGTAAAAAATATACAAATGCATTAGGAGATATTGATATTTTTGACACTTGAGTTGTATTTGAATTGTTATTATTCAATGTATTTTATTATGTGAAATTAATATTTCATTTTTTCTTAGAATTTAACTTTAATTATTTCATTTTTCATCCTAAGTTTAAAACAAATATAAATTTAAAAATTTAAATTATTAATTTATATTTTTTGATGTTATTTACTTATAACTGCAATTAATCTGTATTACATTTTACAACTAATAGTTTAAATTACTTTTCGGTCAAAAAAACCAAAGTATTAATAGTGAATTTTTCTTTTTTAAAATACCGTTGAAAATGTTTCTATAGCTAATAATATATTTATACACAATCTATAATTAACTTAACATTTTAGATAACCTTTATAAAAAAAAAAGTATCCATTATATGCTTCAGTATTATATTTTTATAAAAAGTAAACCATTTTTTTTTCTCGTGGTTTTACTGAAGCAATAAATGAATTTAACTTTTGTTGTTATTTTTAGAGTATAATAATATAATTAATTAATTTCTACTTATGAAAATTGAGTTTTCAAGATATAACAACAAATATTTCAACTTAATAATAATTATAAATATATTAATTTTAATAATAATTTTACTGGTTTCGACAAGCGGTTACAACGAGTTAATTGTATCAGCATAGAAGATCTAATAAATAGGTACAATTTCGCCCTCTCTATTTTTATTTTGTCCATTTAATTTTTAACCATTTAATAATTGTTTAATTTCAGTTTATCACAGACTTTGTAGATCTGTTTGTACTTTACATTTAATATTTGTATTAAATTCGTAATATAATTTGTGATGTATGTAGGTCGTAGACATATTATAACCGATATAGACGTTTTCAGGGCATGTAGAAGGTAAACAGTATTAGGCTTAGTGTACTTGTAGATTTATAGAAAACTAGTGTGCCATGATAATATAACATACTCTAGCTTAGCAGTAGATTGTGTTTCTGTAATAACATGAAAAGTGTGGCAAAGGGTATATTATAGTGCAGAGCTTATGCGCTTGTGCGTATATTATATTGTTTCATATTATACGAGAATAGTGCACGCAGAGATACTGGCTTTAACTATGCAGTGTAAGTATAGACACTACTACCTGTAAATAATTTAATTTTCGTTATGCAGTTATACGAAATATCCATGAATTACTCCATAGAAACAACTGTTGTATGTATATGTGTGTGTGTGTGTGTGAGTGCGTGTGTATTCAAACATAGTGTAATTTTAAAAATAATAATAATAAAAATAAACTTTCATGTTTTCAAACATAATGCCTGATCAATACGATAAAAATAAATAATCAGCCTATTTATATTATAGGCACACAAATACACATTCTGCAGTAATAAATCATCTGGTATCCGACTATCTTTCTCTTAATTATGTACCTATGAATAAATGTCTATGCTTTACCCTGTTAATTAAAATACAACACTTTTACTACTACATGGTGGCAGTGATGTTTGAGTTTAGGACGTTAGGATCCAATCAAAATATCAAAAACTTTAATCATCATTCTAAATCGACGATTACTCATGTTTAGATAATTTCCGTCTTAGATTATTTCGAATTAGCGTTTTGCAAATTGCAATAGTTCAATATTAAAGATGCAGCCCCAATGATCTGAAGGCTGTCAAAATGTATTATCTTCATTTCATCAAACAAAATTAATGATTTATTAAAATATATATTATAGTGTTTGAAATATCAATATGTGCATTTCTATAGCTGATATAATAAATAAACTTTTTGTAGTGACGCTTTTTTATTATTATTATTATTATTATTATTATCATTATTCGCTTAAAAATATTCAGTGTTATGTAGTATTATTAATTGATTTTAATTGACTGTAATTGATTTAATATAACTACTGCAATTATTTTTAGTTAAAATTATAATGTATATTAATTTACTGGAAAATACACGTTTTTTTTTTTTTTTGTTTTTAATGCAACAAAGTACTTTACTATATTTTTCCTAATTTAACACCGTTTGTACTTCGTACTAATATTTCAAAACAGAACGTAAAAATTTTGGATTTACCTATGATACTATCTATCAATTTTTACATTATCGACCAATATTAAGTGATAATAGGAAGATTTAAAAAACATTATATTTAATAATTTCAAATTTTCAAATATTAATTTAAATATTTTCAAATATTTTAATATGATTCATCACAAACACATGGATGGAATAATTTTTATAATTTTTTATTACAAATTTTAATTAATTTGCATTCAAATATTTAAGATAGTATAATTTGTGGAAGATAGGTTTGAATATTTTTTATACTAACAAAAAGGTATATTTGAACATTATTTTTTTTTTCAAATTATAAAAATAGATCAATATAACACAGGTCATAATAATGATCTTTTAACAATATAGAAATACTTTATAGCATATTTTATAATAATTATATATATATATTTAAAAATTGTTTATAAAACTTAAAACTATACTAGGTAACTTTCTTAATTATATTTAAATAAAATTAAAAATAACACTTAATATTTAGAATAATTACTTTAACAATAATTATGTTTAAACATTATTTATATCTACCCAATACTAAAATCGTCAATACAAATCTTCATACTTATAAAAGTAAATATAATATATTTTAATTATTATAAAATGTACGAGTATATAGTAGACTACCATTGATTAAATTTAAAATTAGTTAACATTTATCAATATTTATGATTTAATTTAAATAAATATTTTACCTTTTATCTGACTGATTAGGTCATATTAAAAACAAGGCCTTTAATGTTGACAACTTTAATTGCGATCCGATTAAAATTAAATATGTGATTTCTAATTTAAAGAAAATTGTAATGATAATAACTTAAAAACAAGTTACGTAAACATATTATAATAAATTTGGGGCTTAGCCATCCAAATCTTAAAATCTACACTCAATGTAAACCTAAATATATACGTATACATACCTAATACATTTTCTTTAAATATATCTTACCTGCTTATAAAAAAGTATTAAATGATTAATTGTTCTTGTTTGTGACTCTGGTTGCAACTATAGTATTATAGGTCAACCCTTTCTGTTAAAAAAAAATATCACCTACGTGAATACATAGGAGTGTGTATATGATATATGCTAGGAAGAGAGAGCTGTTTTCAAGCGTAGTGAAAATATACCTTCCTCTTACCCATCCCCATTATTTGCTCCACTGTCATACTTAAGGGTCTGGGTTTATTTGTTTAAAAAAAAAAATGACTGACTGGGTCTCGGCCAATGGATACGATGATGTGGCTGCAAAAAAAATTTATATATGTATATATAAAAAACTACTATTAAAAACCTCTTTTGTTGTTGAAAATGTTGTTTGTACAAGTGAAACGAAACGGTTTTCATCAATGACGGCCATTATAATTAGAATGAAGATTTTTCGAACGCAGAACAGAAACCTGCACCTTATTATAATATTCAGGAGACCAGTGTAGTATACATCGATTATAGTTGACGAGCTACGTTAGGAGTGAAATGGAAATCGTTAAACGATGCAGCGGCGTTCATAGCCAGTTGTAGTGGCCTTTCGTCTGACAATGTGTATAAGTATGCGTTTGGATATTGTGCACACGTCTCATACACTCAATAAGCCGATTTCTTCTTTTTCATTTAACATCTAACTCGCGCTAAACTGAATAAAGGGTTTGGAAGCTATAGTATTTAATCAACTCTTTCAAAAGTACCGTAATAACGAACTCGTTTAATCCTTTCATCGGTGACTTGCAGTAATAATCTGAAACGAAAATGTGATATCTCAAATAGGAATTTAATAGTAGAAAATAATCCCGATTCGTTCAAATAATATACTGAGCATTATTGATTTATTAAATATTAAAGTATTCAATAATTGCAGTGGCTGCAGTCACCGGTGTGCAGGTAGTTATTGAAACCTTCATCCTTTGTATTTTATGTCATCAGTAACCATTCGAATAATCACATACACAGCATAATTCAATACATATTCGTTTCTTTTTATCACCAAATCGTGTTCAAGAATAGTTGTGCAAGACAGCTGAGGGATGAAATGACTTTGAGGATATTTCTTATAGGTAAAGTTTTCGGATTTTCAGAAATACACTTTATTTTTTTTTATAAAGATGATTTATATTACATTGTAGTAACTCAAAACTGTAAAGTAAATACTTAAAAATATATAAATTAAACTAAATGATAATCAAAAATGTAGGTACTTACTGTAATGAAAATTGATAAGAAGAATAATTGTAATGGTGAATATTGCGATGTTGAAATATAAATTTTAAATTGCCACAGAAAATAGTAAAAACGATCATGGGAGACGAAAAACTGATTGTTAACTCCTCTTTTCGTTTATTGTTTCAGAATGGGGTGGAAGATTGGCGTGTGGATGATACGATCCACGGTCGAGGTGCATCTGGATTCAATTGCAGATATGAGAACGCCATGTTAAGGTTTGTCGGGCGTAGTGGTACGACCACTGCGGTAATCGGAGCTCGACCAAGGGTGACGTTAAACGGTGGCTCCAGTGGTTTCGTTTTGTTCAGGTTAACATGGTAGGTGGTCACCAGCCGCAATCGACGGGAGGCGCCAGCTGCACGGGCACTATGATGAACATACTGAACATAGACGCCGAGAACCGGGTGGTGCTGAACGTCGGCGGCATCAGGCATGAGACCTACAAAGCAACCCTGAAGAAAATACCCGCCACAAGATTGAGTCGGCTGACCGAGGCGCTGGCCAATTACGACCCAGTGCTAAACGAATACTTCTTTGACAGACATCCAGGCGTGTTTGCTCAGGTCCTCAACTATTACAGGTGAATGCTATAAATTATAATAATGACCGTGGTTCCCCACAACTACATTTCTACGGAAAAATTTGTGATTATAAGACTGCCGTGCTTACATTTTAATTTCAATAAAATATTTACTATAATATTATACTGTGGATTTATACATATTATTCGCTCGTTGAAAATAATTAAATCGTATTTAGTTGAGTTAAACTATGATTAAAAATTTTAAATTATTATTGAATATTCCACGCACAATGTATTTTATTCCAAAACCCTAAATGTAATACAAAGAACAATATTAATTATTGTTAATTTTAATTTTGGATAACTAAAAAATGTAAATTATTTTTTCTTTTCATAATCGTGCATGTTCCAAACATAGAAATTGTGCACTATAATGTATGATATAATAAAAATAAAAAATAAATACTAAATTCTTTAATATAATTTATTTTATTTTATTTACTTTTAAACATTATTTGTGGTTATTGAAAAAAAAATAGCTACAGATTGAACAATATTTCTAAAATAAACAAATTAAACAAAAAAATTTTCAACTTAAATATTATAATTAATATGCTACTATAAACACTGTTTTAGTTAAACGTTAATTAAATATGTCTGAAATTTTTTTTAAATTTTAAATCATTTATAATCACTGTATCTAATCTAGTGGTATATGTATACAGCGTGATAAAATTATGAAATTTAAAATATTTTTCATTTTAACTATAGTTATATATATCTGTATAAAGAAGATGTCTTTAATAATGTATTATTTTTTTTAAATAACAGTCAAAAATTAACTTAATATTATGTTATATGTTAAAAAATATTCTAGATTTTTACACATAACATAATATACACAGATACTAAAATTATCACAGTCCATGTTTTAAGCTGTCAAACAATAATATTTATAGCTTCTTGAAGTTTGTATAAACTACAATGCAAATTTCAATATACATGAATATTAGATTTAAGTTTTTAGATTTAAAAATACTATTGTGGTTTTTGTGTACATTTTTGTTATATTTGTTATATGTATAATCAGCTTAAGCTGAAACACGATGATTCCATTCACAGCATTAGCTGCTGATCGGATTTAAAAGTATATATAAAAAAAAAAAAAAAAAACAATAACAACGTTGAATAATATAAAACATTGTTGGTATAAAAAGTTATAATAAAAATACATTTACATTAAGTATCTCTAATAATATATACTATACTATTATAGTATAATATGTATGTGTGTGTGTGTGTATGCGTTTGTTTTATCCAGTTTTAATGCATCAGATTATTGATTTATGCGATTTTTGGTTTAATACAGTCAACAGTAGTCTTTGGCCAAAATAAACTTATTGTGTGAATATAAAATAAAAATATGTCATAACAATTTAAATTTCACATTTTTTTATTTTTTTATCAAATAATATTTATTTTTTTTAAATCTTAAAATCCTTTAAACATTAAATAAATGAATCTTTTTTTCTTAATTTAAAAAAAATAATATGCTCATAGTTAAACAAAGTTTATCAAATTAATATTTTATATAATATATCCTGTAAAATTTATGTATGAAATATTTATAAGTTTTAATCGATTATGTTTTTCTACAAGTAAAAATGAAAATAGTGTTTCATTTTTAAACAAATATTTATGTATGTATGTGATTTATATACTATATATAAATGTGTGTGTATACTGTATAATACATATCGTTCATATAGTTTGTCTTATAAAATATAATATGTAGTTACGTTTTTCAGAAGTTTGTTTTCTTCTTTTATTTATTATTTTATTCTAGACAGTGAGCTGTCGGAATATTACTTTATACTCATCAATCTTCCATAAAACTCTCACAACTCACTAAATGCCTACTTTATGTCAATCATTGGTATTATAACTTGGTTTCATTTACATTTTACCGTAGCAGTCATAATAGTAATAATATAAAAATGACTTTGTAGCAGTGGTGGTTTTGTGGGTGAGGCAAGTGAGGCGGTGCCTCACCTAAAAATTTTGGATAAAGAATAACATGTTGCATTAAAATAATTAGTTATTATTAAATTACATTTTTGTTTCTCTCATTCGTATAATGTATTATTAACAGTCAGAATTCTGTCATACTAAAATGTCGAAAAAAAGAATTTATTTTAATATAAAATGTATTTTGTTCTATCAGTTAATGCGGGAGTACGGCCGTACTGCAAGGACGGGACATAGGTTGTGACAGGCTAAACGTCACGATTTTGTTGTCCAGCGGTCGGCTGGTCTCGTAATCTTCCGACCGTACCAATAAGAGCGATCCGCTGCCGGTGCCTATCTCATGTGCTGGTATATTTAGTATTACTAAATTATACGTAACCCGCACTAACACGCACCGTACGCATTGCACATGCACTCCATAGGCGATGATTGAGTCGGCATATTAAACATTGGCTCTGTGTTTCAGCCGAAGAAAATACACATATTTAATTGTTGAAATTATCATCAGTATCGGCGATACTGCGTCAAAATCAAATAAACGATATCTAATAATTACAACCATGAGAGTCTTTGATTACAACACTGCAGCTGTCTTATATTTGTATTTCATATTTTCGTTTATCGATTCTATCACAATTTACTGATCAGTAATCACTCTAATTTTGTATTTGTCGACTCATAGACTGTACTTCTGTGGTTTCGTATTCACACTAATATGTATAATATTATAATATTATATATCTCTAAAATTGTGTATATATATATATATATATATATATATATGTGTCCGTATTTGTGTGTATATATTATATAAACATGTACGAAAATAACCTCTACGTAGTATATTTTAGGCAACAATAGCAATTATTTAATGCTGCTACTGGTTAATCTTTTCAGCGAGTTAAATATTTTTATATATAAATTTGTGTTTTTATATATAAATGTATGTAAAAATGTAGTCACTTCACTCAAAATTGAACCCTGAAACCACCACTGCTTTGTAAAATTAAAAAACCCCCCCAAAAAAACATTAAATTCCTCACGTTAAAAGGTAAAATATATTAACGAGGTAGGTTTAACTGATTATTCATACACAAATGTTTAACACAAACAAACTGACCCACAAGCCACATCACGAGTGAGGTCAAACTCTTAACTTCATTCACATATCGTACTCCTTTAATACTTTCGAAAAGTATATCAAATTAATATACTATAAACATGTTTAATATTAATTTTTTTTCTCACCTCTAACTTCTCTTTTTGTCCATCTGGCAATGGCATAATAAAGGGTCATTATTTTTCGTTTTTATCTTTGGTGCAGCTCTTTTAAAACAATAATGATGATAATAATAATGTACCGACAGTGTTCACAAATTTTGGATATGAGTTATACCTTTGTCGTGAAGTTGCGAAAATATATAAAATACATTATGGTTGTTTTAAACATTTTAAGAACGCTATTCAAAATTTTATAACTATTACAAATTATAATAATAGAAATTTTGATGCACTTATTTTTGTTAAGTTATCTATAAATTAATTTCATAACTTATTTTTGGATGAAATATCAAAAGTACTTAAAGTATATTTTTGTATATTTGTAAATAATTTTTAATATTTTAATTACGTAGTTCCTGTATTTAAAATCTATTAGTTCGAATATCTCATGGTTAATAAACATTTTATTGATAGTTAGTATCATTAAAAAATAATGATATTTATTACAGTTCTTTTATTTATTTATTTTATTTATGGGTTTATTTTAAGTACATTTTTAAAGCATATTACAATCAATATACTGATTTCAACCTTGTAATTTAATAATAATAAAAAAATGAATTCTATGTATTTTTTAAGATATTGCTCGTTGAACGATAAAACAATCATACTGTATACTCTTATACATAAAAACATTAATAGCACAATTCCTCTCCACTGTATAAGAAAAAAACTCCCAGGAGTATAGCAATATAGAATAAAATACTAGAATTTCGCCATACTTTAGTTTGAGTAAAAGCTTTACCGCGTAAAAAATAAAAACATATTTTTATGCCTACTCGTAAAAATGGAAGTTTTGGTGTTTTCGTTTTTATTTCATTTCCGTAAGTACTGCAATAGATAGGTATGTTATTAGGGGTATTATGGTTAGATTAGGTGGGTACTGAGGTTATCATTTCGATGTACTATTATTATTTTCGTTTATCAAACTGGTGGGAGATATAACGCAGATTTTTGCGTGACCAATAAAAACCAATACTATCGCAAAAACTGACGATAAATCGGCAAGATATTACTATCGTTTTTGAACCAATGTATGTAACAATTTTTCTCGTCGTCGGAAACTGACGACTGCTGCAGAAAATGGCGTACACAATATTGATCCGCCGTTTTAATGCTGTTCAAAGAATCTAGAATTGTCTTGTAGACGCGTAAATTAATGTTAAGCAAATGTAAAAACTTATTTAATGAAAAATTGTATCGTACGTATAATATTCGATGAACAGTTTTATTATATTGAAATAAGATAACAATTTGTGTCACGATACATTAATGTAAGAATTTAATATTTTATACGCCTAAATAAGAAATACATTAGTCTTAAATTATCTCAAACGTTGAGTAATATTCAAACGTTCGTCTAAAATAAGTTTGTTTTTTATTTCATAGATTACTATATATATATATATCAATTTAATTAACTTTTTAGTATATTTTTTCCGGTGTTACAAGTCCTAACTATAACTTTCAATATTGTAAGTTAGTAGTGATTTTATTATTGCCGTATATAGCAATAGAAAACATTTTATCTACAGGATTAAGGTGTAATTTAAGAAAAGGTAAATATAGGATTTTTATCTCTGTATATCCTTGGTTCAGCTTTTTATTGATTTCGTCACTATTTAAATATATATATTTATCATGTTTCGTTATGTTTCGAATTAATATTTTTATTGCTTTATATATTATTGGACTTTGTTGAAACTATCCCATAGTAAGTGTTTATGTAATATAATGTATCATTATTA